ACCTGTGACCGGCATCTTCAGAGTGCAGGAGCACCGACAGGAGCAGTTCTCTGTTTTTTCGGATTGCTCCAGCTGCCTGCCCGCTTTCAATTTCATTCCTAGTCATTTTGGTTTCATCATGGTATTGCACGCAGCTGTGCAGCTGCACAGGAAGAAAAAGTCGTGGAACCTCCTTTCTTTGCTTATCTTTGAGGCTGCGTTCCTCTCCGCCAGCCTTTCCTGGCCCTTCCTTCTCCAGATGTGTGGGACTCTAGTACCCATCATGCATGGCTTGGGATGATGGAAATCTGGCACATCTGGAGAGCGATGCATTAGCCAAGCCTGCCTGCCTGCCTGCTTGCTTGCTTACCCAGGAGCAAGGCCCACCCAACCCTCCAAAGGCAGGCCGCACCGGAGCATAAATAAAATATACGATATATGGGCTGATTAAACCCTCGGCCCTGATCCGGCCTGCATTCCCCCAGAAGGACCAAACGCTGGATTTCGCCGCAGCAGCTGCTCCCACTCTGCAGTGCACCTGAAAGGCGGGCCTTCCGGAATGGCAGACTACAGCTCCCATCGTCCCCAACCTTTGCAGCTGGGAGGTTGGGCCTTGTAGTCCTTGGGAAGAGGCAAGACCGCTGAGCCCCCGGGCTGAGGGCTGCTCTGCACCATCCCTCGGCAGCGGTGGGGTGGTTGCCTTCCTGTCGGCTGGGCAGGCACGGGACTAACCCTGTTTCTTCTCCCGCCAGCGGTCCAGGCAGCAAGGCAGGGAGCCCTGATGGCGCAGGAGGGATGGAAGCCCGCCCCGCTGCCCACGCCGTGCATCCTGGGCATCGATCTGGGCACCACCTCAGTGAAAGCCGTGCTGGTGGAGGAAACCAGCAAGGGACCGGCCGTGGTCGCCAGCTGCACCAAGGTGATGCAGGCCAACGTGCAGGCGAACGACGCTCATCTGCGGGTGAGGAGAATTCAGTCGCCTCGCACAGTGCTCTGTGCAGGGGATGCTCCAGATGGGATCTCTCCGTTCAGAGAGCGGCCGGTGGCTGGTGACACACTTTGCCCCCTCATCCTGGGAGGTTTCCCTGACCCACCTCGGTGGCTTTGGTCCGCTCCTGCCCAGCCCTCCTTTTCACCAATTCGTCAAGAGAAAATGTCTGCAGATTTTGATTTTTCAATTACAATTTCCGGAAAGTTTTAATAACCGATAGAAGAAGACACCCGGCCAGTAGAGACTCTTTCTGTTGTCTTTCTCATGAGTAAAACCAGATGACTGCTTTCGTGCCTCCGTCCTCCCTGCTAATTTACTTTCCCCCCACGTATTCTTTCTCTTGCAGGAGAATGAGCAAGACGTCCACAAAATCATTGCTGCCCTGAACAATTGTCTTGTGACCTTTTCTCCAGCTTCCGTTCAACGAGTTCGCTCCATTGGTGTTTCTGGGCAAATGCATGGGGTTATGTTTTGGGAAATTGGGAAAGGTAAGATTTAGTATTCAGGTCTCCCTTTGCCTTCCTTTCCTTAAGAATCACAGTAAGTATTTGAAAAGACACTTCCACTAATGACATTTTTTTAAATGATCTCTAACATCACTCTCTACACCAGTGTTTCCCAACCTGGGCAACTTTAAGATGGGTGGATTTCAACTCCCAGAATTCCCCAGCCAGCCATGCTGGCTGGGGGATTCTTGGAGGTGAAGGCCACCCATCTTAAAGGTGTCCAGGTTGAGAAACACTGCTGTACACACAAGGTGCCAGACTCACGATTGAAGGCCCCCCCCTTTTTTGTGTGCAGCATTTTGTACAGGCACAGTTACCACCTTTCTGTTTTACCCCCATCCCACCTCTGCAGATGCCTCTGACAATTTTGTCCTGTTTCCATGTACCACGGGCAACAATGTGGTAGTTTCTGGATTAGAGATCCTAAACTTGCACAGGATATTGTGAGCGGTACACTTGGGGTAAAAAATGCCAGATGTTGGAAGACACGGCTATAAAGTGCTTTTGCAGTCCTGCCTTGCTCTTAAATATAGTCTGGATGTACTAAAATTTAGACCAAAGGCAGATAAGCTTTCGGGGGGTCACCCTTAATGCTGGGGGAACACTGGAGGCTACAAAGCGGATTTTTCCCTGGTTTTCTACAGAACTTTGGGTGATGGAACAGGCCAAGAACACTATTTGTCTCCAGTGTGTTTTCAGGATCTAAGTAAACCCGCCGGGGATGGTCAGCAGGGGTTCGGGGCTGGGCCTCATCTGAATGGGACCCAGATTCCAACTCTGATAAGCTTTCAGGTTTTGATGCATAGCTGCTGCTGGAAAGTCCCATTTTCAGTTTTATGCGATGAATCCTGTAACGATGCTAAATGAGCATTAATTTGATAGGCCCTCTGCTTTGGCTTCCCATGAATAACCGGCAGCTGATTTTTTTAAAAAAAGAATGGCGTTCATTACGTGCATTCATTTTCAGCTAGAAGTTCCTAATTGTTGTATTTCTAAAGCCTTATCTTGATTCTTTCTATGTTGCTTATTGGCTGTCTTGATGAGTGGGTTTGCTAAAAATTAAAACCAGAACTCTAGCAATCTTCACATTTGAAGACTTTTATTTGTACTCTGAATGAGCTCTCTTTCTTTTTGCTTTTTGGCCTTTTAACGCCATTAATGTTCAATTTTGTGTTGCGCAGAGATAACAGGATGGTGGCAGAGTGGAAAGATAATTGAAAGCTTTATAGGGGAGAAGAAATCCACCTGGATTATTTATTCATTTGAAAAACCCTTTTCTATTTTTTGAAAAATGCATATTTACATTTTCAGAGCTATCTCTTCCCAAATTTGAGGCAATGAATTTTTTGCAATCTGTCAAAGAGAAGAAGTTGGTTCCTTTTTTTATTTTTTTGGAAGCCTTAATTGCTGAGATGGAACAGCTGGGCCTGCAAGGAGATTCACACAGCCAAGCTAAGCATAGTTTAGTGGTAACTGTGGACTGTAATTAAGGGACTCATCCAAACTGGGGCATCTGCGGGAGAGGGGTCAAAAAAGTCAAGACGGTGCTTGTGACTGCATGATTGAAACCATAACCCTTTTTGCACATAAAAAATGGGCCGGGTTTCACATTTGCAACCATTCTGACTCCCCCCCCCAGATGCCCCTACACTCAAGTGAATTATTTTCCAATAACACAGCAAACCACACTCAGCCATGGTCTATTACCCCCCTCCTTTGTGTTTAGTTTTCCAATAAATGTTTGTACTGGCCGACATTACAGGGAGGGTTAATAAAATAACCATGAAGAAAATCTTGCTAGGACCTGATTGGCATTGAAGCTCCTCTGTGTAGGAAGGTGAGTTCCTCCCCAGCTTCTAAATTTTCAAAAGAAGCCCCCGTGAAGGTGAAAATTAAAGCAGAGAGCTCAGAGTCAGCTACAGAAGAAACTTTATTATTTTATTAAGTGTATATGTTGCCCAACTCCGAGTAATTCTGGGTGGCTCACTTCACTCCGCACTCGGTCCTACTCCTAGTGGCATCTGCAGTATTGCCAGTGAAGTCAATTGCCGTAACTTAATTAAAAAAAAAAAATCCAAGCTGGTGGGTAGAGATGGGGGCAGAAGCAATAATAAAAACGGTGCTTTAATTATTTCTTGCTGGCAAAAAACGGGCCGGCAGCAGCAGGCTCTTGGCTGGTAGTTGGTGCTTACAGGCAGAAAAGAAGCCAGATGGGGTGACTGGCCCGTTTCTTGCCAGCAAGCAAGGAACAAGATATGTGTTTATGTCATCTGAGCATTGCAGTGCAAGCACGTAAAGGAGGGTGTTGCAGGGAAGTCCCTGCAGGGTGGGGCTCACCATATCTTGTCCCACTTTTCTTGCCTGCTTCTCAGATAACTGTCATTCTTCGTTGTCAGTTAACTATTCACCCAGCTTCAGAAACCCTCTGGATGCAGGTGAAATAACCTACCAATGGTTACGGTCTGTGACTCAAGAGAGTCCTTACTGTAATCACAGCCTGACTCGCAATGAGGTTGGACACCGTAGTAGGCCATAAAACAGGGTGACCCAGCATATCATGTAGACGTGCTCTGCCTTTTCCCCTCCTGTGATAAATTCAAGTACCTGTGTGGGTGTGTGTCTGTGTTTAGTTCTAAACTTGGCTTCGTTAACCATAGTGACTTTGATTTGATATATTTAACTTAACCTAAAAGGGCAATACTGATAGCACCAATAACTAGGTTAAGAAGCAAAGAGAAAAACCAAGGAGGATAACGCGAAAATGGTAATAATTGTTTTAGAATTAATAACAGTATCAAGGGCTTCATAACCCAGTGTAGGAATTATGGATTCAACTAACTGGACTTCCATGTGATTTCTACTACGCAAAATTTTGCTGTTTTCATAGGGATTTCTCTAGACTGGTTTCTTAATAGGAAAAGTACAATTTCTGATTGGGACCTGCCCGAGCATCTATTAATAATCAGGGAGATGATCAGCCCTACTGTTAGATGCAGAGCTCAGAAGAACGGGTGTGAGGGAGCCAAGCTCTGCATCTGAAAATATTCAGAGGCCTTCTTAATGAGGGACGTTGTGAAGTGTTGTCCATGACTTTTAAGGGAAGGACGTCAAGTCTTGCCAGAGTAAGTGCCCTTCTGTATGACCCTAACCTTGAGTGAACATCACAGGATTGCATTGTGACTTTATAGACTAGTCCAGTGTTTCTCAAGCTTGGCGACTTTCAGATGTGTGGACTTCAGTTCCCAGAATTCCCCAGCCAGCAAGGCTGGTTGGGGAATTCTGGGAGCTGCAGTCCACACATCTGAAAGTCGCCAAGCTTGAGAAACACTGGATTAGGCAATCAGCCTTTCTTAAGTCACTGGAAGTTTCTTGTAACAATATTTGTGGAATATTGCACGGCATTTACTTACTTTACTCTTTGGATGTGTGTATGTAGAAGAGGGCAGAGATAATCTTGAGGAAGGAACACAAGAATCGCTAAGCAAATGTCAACTTAGCCCTGGAAAGGAAGACAGGGTGAGAAAGGAACTCAAGAAAATCCCACCTTGATTCTCTTTGGTATAAGAGGGGGCATTTGTTACAATGTTACAATAAAGAAGCATTCCTGCAGTCTTTTGTAACGATCTGCCACCCGCTGATCCCAAATCCAGTAACTTTCCTTGCAACCAGTATTGATTCAGAAGAAAGTTCATTTATTGAGAACAAGTGTACAGTTCCAAAGCGTTGCTGAGACTGGGCCTGAGTGCGCCAAAAGCTGTTTTTCTTACTTTTCCCTGCTTCACCCCCCTTAGCTCCTGGTCTCCTGATTCCCTTGCTGGTACGACCTTGAGCATGCCAGCG